GTCTGGAACTGCGCCTGTACCATTGCTGCAGTGTGCACACACCTCACACACATATGCACTCACACACATACACACTCACACATACACTCACACATCAGATGCACTCACACACACATCACACATGCATTCACACATACACACTCACACGTACACTCACACATCAGATGCACTCACACACACATCACACATGCACTCAAACACACACATATGCTCAGACACATCACACGTGCACCCACTCACCACACACCCACTCATACACCCATACACTTGCACTGCACACATGCTCTCACACTCATCTGTAATTACTCATAAGTGGCTCTCAACTTGGTTTTCTCAGAATTGAGAAGTCACCGTCAGCACAAGGAGTGCTAACCAGGCCAGACGTCACGGTCTCACCGATGGGTTCTGTGTCCCAGGGAGCTGAAGGTGCCGGGACCGTGTCCTGACCTGCCCGCCGCTCTCCCCGTGCCACCCGCCCAGACAGCCCCTGAGGCTGCATCTCACACACAGTTTCAAGCCCAGTGCGGTCTCCAGAGTTGGCCCTGTGACCTGAGAAGGGGTTCCTGGCTGAGGGAGCCCCAGGAAATCACCTTCCATGGGGTAGGGACGAGCCTCCCTCAGCGCCTGGCCAGCACTGGGGCTGCAGCGAGGTGGGTGAAGGTGGGAGTGGGTGTCCTCAGCAAGCCGGCTGTGACACAGAATGCCAGTGTCTCGGTGCCACCGCCCTTGCACGTCCAAACTGAAACGCCGCCAGCAGACCGTGAATAACCGAAACGACTTGGTGCACTTTATCAGAAAGGGCAGAGCAGATTGCAAAATTAGGGTGTAATTACACATTGCCAACTGGGGAATCAGCCCCTGAGCACCCGTGAAATCATAGAAGGTCTGCTTCGTTCTGGAGTGGCTTCCCTTTGGCTGGCAGAGGAAGCAGAGCATGTGGAAAGATGGGGCAGGTGGTCTGGTGGGGTTAGGAGGGAGGTGTCCGTGGCGGGCACGTGGTCTGGTGGGATGAGAGGGGTGGTGTTCATGGTGGACAGGTGGCCCAGCCTACCCCAAGCCTCCGCAGTTTAGCCACATGTCCACTTAAGGGATGCAGAAACAACCCCACAGTGGGCTGTGCTCACATCTGAGCAGGTGCCTGGGGACCCAGCATCACTGGATTATCCAGCAGCACCTGCGTCCTGGGTCCCAGGCAGACATCGCTGTACGCAGAGGCTCTGGCAGGGAACTAAAGATCCGAAGGGAAGTGGCTGAAGAGACGTCGGAAGGGAATTCCGGAAAATAGGAATCCGGGCTGTGAGATCTAGGTGTAGAGGAGGCAGGCTGGTCGTTCAGGCTGTTGGCCCCTGTTCTGTGTAGAAAGGGTCAGCTCAGGGTACATAATATTCACCCTTATTCTTTTTCTTCCGTATTTCTTTATATTTCTTACAAATGTCTCTCAGCCTTTTTTTCTTCTCACCCGTGTCGTTAAAAATGGCAGATCCGAGAAGCTTCTGTCTGAACATATAACCCCTGTGCACGGTGGCTCTGGGCAGGCCCGTGTTTCTTTGCAGAAGGGGCCGTGGCAGACGCCTGGGACCGTGGCTTTCACCTTGTGCCCCACGTCACTGCCTGATGAGGCTGCTCTGTGTTCAGGGATGCCGGATGTGGTGGCACAGCGGCCTGGGCCCTTTGTGCAAACCTCGTGACTGATGGTGGCACCCGCCTTCCCGCTGGGGTGTGGGGCTCCGTCATGGTGGCAGGTGGAGCCAGCAGAGCACAGGAGTGACCCGTCCTAGTGAGAACCCTGAGCTTGAGCCTGAGCGGCCCCCTGGACACAAGTGCGGGGCACACGTGGCTGCGTTTTGCTGCTGGAGGGAGGAGCAGGCTCCGCTGGGTCCTCCCCACCCCCGTCTCCCGGGACAGGAGAACTCTGGAGACGGTGCCCGGAGTCTCCGGCTCTGCTACGTCTTTTCCTTGGCTGGCCCTGTGGCATGTCCTTCTGCGAAGACAAACCACACCCAAGAACGCCGTTGCCACCGAGTCCCGAGCCCTTCCAGCTCCTCCCTGAGTGTGGGAGGCCGTGGGGCCTGAGACCCCATGACGGGCCACGTGCTGCCCACCCACACATCAGAACAAGGTGGAACTGACTGCTTTTCGTCGACACATCCAGCCCAGGTGAGCAAGGAGGTCCTTCACGAGAGGCCGATTTGATATGTATTTACCAGCTCCCTGCCATTTGTCTCTGTCTGGTGTCAACATTTCAGCAGGAGGGGCTGGATGCCAGTCCCGAGGACACGGAGCAGGAGGGACGCATCTGTCGTTGTCACTGAGGGGAGGAGGGGGCAGGGGGTAGTTGCTCTGCAGTGAGGGGGAGGCGCTGCGCAGAGGATCAGGGGTCTCAAGGGGGGGCTAAGGTGCCGGGAGGAGGCTGGAGGGACCGGCCCTCAGTGCCCAAGGGGCAGGCGAGGCCAGGGAGCGCAGACAGAGGGCTCCCAGCCAGAGCTGGGCAGTGCCCCCGCGCTTCCCTCCAACGTCGAGGTTGTTGGAACTCAGAACTCAATTTCTGCTGGCGCTGATAACGTGTGGGCCACTTAGAGTTCTGGGAATGGGACAGGGCCCCTGGGACGAGCGTCTCTGATGGGGAGGCTTCCAGCAGGAGGAAGGGGAGGTGAGCAGAGGCTCTGGGCCAGGACTAGGGGAGCAGGCTGTGAGTCCCTCCAGGGTGCGGGGAAAGGCCCTGCTCAGGCCTGCTAGTCTCCCTAAGGAGGTACAGCCCGGTCCCCCAGCAATGTCCCCAGCACGGTCCCCAGCAGCCCCAGGCCCGGTCCCCCAGCACGGTCCCCAGCAGCCCCAGGCCCGGTCCCCCAGCACGGTCCCCAGCAGCCCCAGGCCCGGTCCCCCAGCACGGTCCCCAGCAGCCCCAGGCCCGGTCCCCCAGCACGGTCCCCAGCAGCCCCAGGCCCGGTCCCCCAGCGCGGTCCCCAGCAACCCCAGGCCTGGCTGTGGAGAGAGGCAGGCCCTTGGTGAAGCCCAAGCCAATGCTGCCACCACCCAGGAGTCTGCACCTGCTGCAGGGGGCACAGGCCGAGCCCTGGCTAGGCACGCAGGGCAAGGCTGGGGAGACAGAGAGACCAGGAAACATGCTGGAACACGGCACCGGGGGACAGCCCCTGCCCCACGATGTCAAGACCTTTCTGTATACAGGAAGGGGCCCAGTGGGGAGGGGGTGGAGGATGTTTGTCCCCCGGCAGCCCCAGGACGAACAGCAGTTGCCTTGGTGCCGTGGCCGTAAGCAGGGCCTTGCTGTGGCTGGGCACGCTGGTCATCGCTGAGCCCCAGGCCCGTGGCCCCGCAGCACCTGGGCAGACGCGCGGCTCTGTGGCGCCATCCACAGACACGGATGGAAGAGCGCCGGGTGTTCCGCGGCTGCCAGGCGGCTCCCGTCAATTACAGATGAGGAAATGAGTTTTGGGAGTGATTTATAAACCCAGGGGACTGGGCCTCCCCGGCAGGATAATGAAACCCGCCTCTCCAGCCCCTGCACGGGCAGAGGCACCGCCCAGCCTGGTTGCTAAGCAGCTACGCGTCTGCGTGGATCTGAAACTCAAACAGTGTCGGAAAACGCTCCAGGTGGAAGGGAGCCCTGTTTACGGAAGCAGCACAGACGTGGCCGTGTCTGCCTTGAAGCGAATTCTTCAGACGGGTTTGGACAGGGCATCGCTGGACAATCCTTCCGAGGAAGTGGGTGTCCGTGTGCCAGCTCCGGGCCACACCTCACGCACGACCGGACAAGTGTCCTCCTGGACTCCCTGGGCCCCCCGAGTGCAGAGCACCCTCTGGGGTGCTGCCTTACATGGGGGGCTGCTCTGGGAATACCACGAGTGCCCAAGGCAGGCATCTGGGGAGCCCCAGGGGACCCTGGGGGATGGGCCAGTGAGCACCCAAGCCCTCGAGGCCACGCTCTGAGCCTGGCTTTTGCTGGCTGCGTGTTTGGGATTCAGTCTCCATCCAGAAAAGGAAATGGCGGAGATGCTGAACTGCCCGGCGAGCTCTGCAGCCCGGTCCTGGCTCAGGACAGGCCCCGTCTGAAGCAGCTGCCAGTGCTTCCTGACCTGGTTTTTTCCTGCTGGCGCAGAGAAGTCCCTGCCACCGCCCAGATGTGGACACCCGTATTTCCCTGGCTCTGGACTGAGGGAGGGAGGGAGGGAGGGAGGCCCCAGCCAGCCCCTTCATAGGCTGTTTCCACCCCCCAGGCAGGCCCATGGTTCCCTCCAAGGCTGAGGTGAATTCCTGGCTGGAGGAAGAATGGGGACCCTGAGCTGGTGCCTCGGGGTGGACGGGGGAGTTTCTCAGCACCAGGGCCTCACACAGCAGAGACGGGGAGGTGCTGGGAACCGGGGATCACACCTGCCTCCCGGTCTGAAGGGCCCACGCCAGGCCCTTGAAATTCATGCACGAGTGTGTGAGGTTTCCACCCACCAACTGTCAGCTGCCTGATGGTACAGAGACCACAAGGCTGAAGCTGAAACCGAAGCTGCCCCGAGCCCGTTTTCCCAGCGAGGCTGGCCTGGGGGGCACAGAGGGGCTCAGGCCATCGTGTCTGCAGCACGGGAGGCTTATCCAGCCCCCAACACAGGCCAGCCCCAGACCAGCCCCAGACCAGCCGGACCCTAGCCACAGATGTGGAGGGCAGGGCACTGCCTGCCTCAGACCCCCCACCCCACTGGGACTCTCTGCCCTTAGGCCCTTCCGGCCCATCCCCAGCAACTGACGTCCCTCCCCCCCATCCTGTCTCACCCCCAGCGATCGGTGCCCCTCCCCCCAGCACAGCCCCACCCCAGATTCTTTGCATGCTTGCCACCCTCCCTGGGCACAGGAACTCATGCCGAGGCCTCCCCCGCAGACCGGATCATCCTCAGGCCCCTCGTGGCCTACGAGGAGGCTTGCCAAGACCCAGAAGGTGTCTGCAGCATCCAGGGCCCAGGTGGCAGGGCCTCGTGCCCACGCATGCCCCGTACCTGAGCAGGGGCTGCCTGGGGTATGGCGGCTGGTCTGCATCCAGGCACAGAGCGGCCTTCTTGGTCACCTGCTTGTAGATGTTCCTGGCGGTCACTCCGATCCACAGCATGGTGGAGAGTGTGGAGTAGTGCAGCACGATGCCCACCTGTGGGGAGCAGCCATCAGCAGGCAGCCGGGCCCTCGAGGCACCTGCCCCAGAGCCTGCAGCCCTGGCCCAGCCTTGCAACTTCCAGAGGCTGCTCTCAGTGACAAGAATGACAGCAACAGGTGGCCACAGGGAGACACTAGGCCAGGAGTGTCTGTGTCCCAGGGCAGACAGTGGCTGCCCACAGCAGCCTGGAACTCGCAGGGAGAAGCTGGGCTGCAGAGACTCTCTAACGGCTCAGCTCTTCTCCCCTTCTGCATGGAGATGGGGGCAGGGAGTCTGTGGGAGCCCACGAGGTTGTGCTCTCACACCAGAGCAGGGATCTGCATGCATGCCCCCCGTGGTCCCTGTGGCCCAGGCGTGGGACCCCATGAGCTTCAGACTCAGACCTGGAGGGTGTCCCTCAAGGGAGAGGAGGCAGAGTCCTCAGTGGGGTCACAGCATGTGCTCTCACTGAGGTCTTGTGAGTAGGATGAATCCCCCCCACGGGGACGGTGTTTGCAGGACCCTGCAGGTCGCTGGTTCGCATTGCTATGGAAACTTCCTGCACTGGCTGATTACGAGGGCCATGCTGCTACCTTTGGCGTAATAACCTGACATTTTGAAATGACAGGTAAAATACTGCTGTAATTGGAAAGGACATAAATGTTTAAGGAACGTGGAGATTCGCTGCATAAAACTAACATCGCACCGTTTATGATGATAATATCAAATCCAGAGCTCAATTTTTACTGATGTGGAGGCTCTGTAGTAACTGATGGGGTGGCTGGAACGATCGGAGGGCTGCGTTTGGGTTTCAGATGAGCTCCCCACAGCCCTGGCAGCAGGTACCGGGGGGACCAGCCAACCCTTTCCCCGGGCATGGCCTTGCCGCGGAGCGTGGGGGCGTGGCCTTGCCTCGGAGTGTGGGGGCGTGGCCTTGCCTCGTAATATGGGGGCGTGGCCTTGCCTCGGAGTGTGGGGGCGTGGCCTGGCTGCGGAGTGTGGGGGCGTGGCTTTGCCTCGTAGTGTGGGGGCGTGGCCTTGCCGCGGAACGTGGGGGCGTGGCCACAGGGTGTGGAGGTGTGGCCTGGTCTAGGAATGTGGGCGTGGCCTGGCCGAGGTGTGGGGCGTGGCCTGTGGGGGCGTGTCCCGTCACAGCGCCCAGGCCTCACCGCAGAGACAGGGAGGCCAGGGAACCACGGGCCACCGCATGGAGCAGTGGGGCAGAGGTAACTTCCACAGCCTGGCCTCGGGCTCTTTCTTTTCGGGAAGCAGCCGTGGGGCTGTAATTGTCACCGCCCCGGGCGCTGAGGAGGGCAGGGAGGACGGCAGAGCTGGCCCTGCCCCTTGTCTGGGCCGAGACTCACCCAGGCTGTGTGCATTTGGGGATCACAGGGAGGTGTGAACGGCAGAGCTCTGGCTCCCAGACACTGACTCCAGGCTGGACAAGTGGAGAAGCCGCAGGGAAGCCCCTGGCTTCCCACAGTGCTCCACGCCGCCCCTCCCCCCGGACCCAGGGCCAGCGCCTGTCTCTGATGACCATGTCACTCAGCACGCTAATGGGGCTCATGGCCAGCTCTTTGTTGCCATAGCGACCATCGTCCTTTCCAGCCATCCATAGCCTGGGACCAGGATTCACTCAGTGCTGAGCTGTGGCCCTTGGTGGGGCAGGCAGGCAGGAAGGTGGGTGGGACAAGGGCGGGGAGGCGGGTGGGCAGGTGGGAAGGCCGCTGGAGGAGTACTGTGCCCGGGCAGACAGGTGGGAAGGCCGCTGGAGGAGTGCTGTGCCCTGGTGGGCAGGAGGAAGCGGCCCGGGGAGTGCGGTGCTCAGGCGCCAATGGCACACGCAGGTCAGACCCCAACCCTAGTCATTACTAGACCCCTCAGGTGTCCTTCCTCTGGCTGGTAGTGGCTGAATTCTCCTCCTTACCCGGAGGATGCAACTGTGAAACCCGCTGGGCCTCGGTGTTAGAACAGCGAGAGAGTTTCTTCCTGTCCCAGAGCACAGGAGAGCAGGGGGGTTGGTCAGCAGGAGCTCGAGAACGTTGCCTCATGGCTTCCTGACTGGCACTGGAGCTGCAGCCACCTTGGCCCCTGCTTCTGCTTCCCAAGCCTGGTGTCCCTCCTCTGGTGGGCACCTCCTACCTCCTGCTGCCCCTAGGGTTCGTTTTCCACACTTGTTTCCTGTTCTTCAGTGCTGCTCCGCAGTGAGACCACATGGGTTTGTCTCTGGTAGTGTCCCAGCTTCCAAGCATGGCCTGGCTCCTCTCGGGCACTAGACACATTTGCTGAGTGAATGAGTGAGTGAGTGAGTGAATAAGTGAGTGAGTGACTGAGTGAGTGGGTGAGTGATTAAGTAACTGAATGAGTGAATGAGTGAGTGAGTGAATGAGTGAGTGAGTGAATGAGTGACTGAGTGAACAAGTGAGTGAATGAGTGAGTGAATGAGTGAATGAGTGACTGAGTGAATGAGTGAATGAGTGAGTGACTGAGTGAATGAGTGAGTGAATGAGTGAGTGAGTGAATGAGTGAATGAGTGAGTGACTGAGTGAGTGAATGAGTGAATGAGTGAATGAGTGAGTGAGTGACTGAGTGAACGAGTGAGTGAATGAGTGAGTGAATGAGTGAGTGAGTGAATGAGTGAATGAGTGAGTGAGTGAATGAGTGAGTGAATGAGTGTGTGAATGAGTGAGTGAGTGAATGAGTGAATGAGTGAGTGAGTGAGTGAATGAGTGAATGAGTGAGTGAGTGACTGAGTGGACGAGTGAGTGAATGAGTGAGTGAGTGAGTGAGTGAATGAGTGAATGAGTGAGTGAGTGAGTGAACGAGTGAGTGAATGAGTGAGTGAACGAGTGAGTGAATGAGTGAGTGAGTGAGTGAACGAGTGAGTGAATGAGTAAGTGAATGAGTGAGTGAGTGAACCAGTGAGTGAATGAGTGAGTGAATGAGTGAATGAGTGAGTGACTGAGTGAACGAGTGAGTGAATGAGTGAGTGAATGAGTGAATGAGTGAGTGAATGAGTGAGTGAGTGAATGAGTGAATGAGTGAGTGAGTGAATGAGTGAATGAGTGAGTGAGTGACTGAGTGGACGAGTGAGTGAATGAGTGAGTGAGTGAGTGAATGAGTGAATGAGTGAGTGAGTGAGTGAACGAGTGAGTGAATGAGTGAGTAAGTGAATGAGTGAATGAGTGAGTGAGTGAACCAGTGAGTGAATAAGTGAGTGAGTGAATGAGTGAATGAGTGAGTGAGTGAGTGAGTGAACGAGTGAGTGAATGAGTGAATGAGTGAATGAGTGAGTGAGTGAATGAGTGAGTGAATGAGTGAATGAGTGAGTGAGTGAATGAGTGAATGAGTGAGTGAGTGAGTGAACGAATGAGTGAATGAGGTAAGTGAATGAGTGAATGAGTGAGTGAACCAGTGAGTGAATGAGTGAGTGAGTGAATGAGTGAATGATGTGAGTGAGTGACTGAGTGAACTGAGTGAGTGAATGAGTGAATGAGTGAGTGAGTGAATGAGTGAGTGAGTGAGTGAGTGAGTGACTGACTGAGTGAATGACTGACTGACTGACTGAGTGACTGAGTGAGTGAACGGTGCTCTCTGGGAGATCAGGGCAGCATCTGGAATCAGCCACAGTCTTTTCCACTCATCGCCTCCCGAAGGCTTTTGCCTTAACAAGATCTCCTCCAAGATCGCACCCCTCTGGAACCTTCCAGACCAGCCCCACTGCGGCCCCAACACCCCAGCAGCCACCCCAGGCTGTCACCGCAGGTCCTGGCCCCAGGAGCTCCACTCAGGCAGGCTGAGACTGAGAAAGTGATGGGCGTCCCCAAGGCACAGGGAGGATTTGCTGAAGGCCCTGGGTGGCGTCCCTGCCCGCGGTTCCGCAGGCTTCCTCCCAGCGTGCAGACCTGGCGGTGGCGGTCCCCGGCCCCACCTCCAAATGGCCCCTTGCAGGCACTCACAGGCCGGATGTCAATTGTGTTTCCCGGGCACTTGCTGTGGTTGTTTCCAGCTTATCAGAGGAACAGTTTAAGGAGGAGGGAGGTGTGTCCGGCCTCAGCTGCCTTCAGGCGGGTGCCAGCGCCTCCTCTGCTGGGCCCAGGCCTCGGTGGGGGGCGTGGCCTCCTGGCGCTTTGCCACGACCTGTGGTCTGACATACACGACGTCTCCTCTGCGTGTCGGATGCCAGGGCCCTGTGTTTGTGTGAGCGTCTGCCTGGCCTGCCGCGACCTTGTGCAGGGAAGTGTGGTGCTGGGAAGGAAGCCCCACGGTGCTGCAGGCAGGTGTGGGAGCCTGGAGGGGAGGGGGATTCTGTGCACTCAGCCCCGATTCTCCCCCAATACCCCTGTGGGAACAGCCCCTGCGTGAATCTCGGCCACTGCTATCTGCGGGCACACGTCAGTGCCAGGTACTGCGGGAGGGTCCCAGAAACCGCAGGGCTGATGATCCGTGGAAACCCCCTGGATGTGCCTGGGTCGTGGACGTGGCTGTGCTCTGGGCTGACCTTGGGCTGTGTGACTGCTGGAGGGGGTGGCCACTGGGGCTGGGCTGGCTGGGGGTGAGAGCTGTGGGTCCTCTCCTCGGCCATGAGCCACAGTGCAAAGTGGATGAGGACCCAGCTTAGATTTGACGTAAGTGTCTCCCATGAGCTCTGCCAGAAGCTGTGTGTGATGCGTGCACCCCGCTTTTAAACCAAGGTCAGGCTGGCCCCTCAGCCTGAAGAGCCCTTCTGTGCCCTGTTCTTTTCCACGCTCAGTGCCTTGAGGCTCCAGCTCTCCCTGCAAGGGGAGGAGGGCTCCCCAAGTGGCCTCTCTGCTTGGCTCCCGGGGGTGGGGGCATCTGCTGCAGGGAGGGAAAGAGCTTACCCTCCTGGTGACTCAGGGGCAGAGTTCACAGGTTCCTCCCTGGACCCGAGTGCATGCCCCTCCTGAGCTGACCCCACCACTTTCTCTGGGAGGGGCAGGCTGTGTCCCTGCTCCTGGGGAGCGCTCCCTTTGGGGATGGTAAATGTCAGGTTAGCACAGTCCTGGCGGGGGCCATGCAGTGAAATCAGTCCTGTGGTCAAACGTGGAGCAGCCACGTGGACTCCTGTGGCATGAAGCCGAGACACCGACAGGCCGGGGCCTGGCTCCCCTCCCAGGAAATATCTGGGCACATGCTGGAATACTATTTCGTAAACAAGACGACGCTCACACACTTCCCCTCTGACGAAGGCGCCCCCACACTCACCGCCTGGCACAGGATGGGGTACTTGGTGCGATTGATGCCACCCGGCGAACACTGTGAAGGTCAGGGCCGCGTGGAAGCAGAAGTTCAGGAGCGTGTGCCGGCCCCTTGCGGCTGATGCGGATGGCGCTGTGGGCAAGGAAAGCAGGTGCATGTGAGCAGAGGCTCCACTGGGGGAGGGATGG